GTCACTCCAAGCCATTCTCATACCTGCACCACAGAGGCCACTAGGACCCCATCCCTGTCTGTGCTCCTGTGTCCCTCTGCGCAGGCCCTTCCTCCTCCCCGCGTTCCACCGTGCAGCCTGCCGGCCCCCTTCAGGGTGGCCGGGCCCCACAGTGGGCAGCTGGGGTGACGGTCCTGTCCCCACAGGATGAGCAGAGTGCCGTGTCCATGCTGAAGAAGCACCAGACCCTGGAGCAGGCCGTGGAGGACTACGCCGAGACAGTGCACCAGCTCTCCAAGACCAGCCGGGCGCTGGTGGCCGACAGCCACCCCGAGAGGTGAGCGGCACGCCGAGAGGCGGCTGTCCTCCCACCACGGGCTGTGTACCCGAGAAGGGGCAGCACCCATCCTGAGTCCCTGGGGAGGCCAGTGTTTGGGGAAGACCATGCCCAGCGTTCTGCGCTGACCAGGCTGAGAGAACCAGGAAGTCACTCTTGTGGGTGACATTCCTGGCCAAGGCCTATTAGAAGGTGAGCGGTGTCATGGGCCAGAAGTCCAGCTCAGTGGAATCAGAGCACTGACCTCCTGAGTGGAAAAGGTCATCCCGTTAACTTAGCCGTTTTTAAGAGGTGTGGTACGCAGGTCTCAGAAAACCCACACTCACTGCTGTGAAGTCTGACCAGCTCACAGCTGACCCTCCTGTGGGATCTCAGAGGGTAAACAGCACGGCGGGAAACTTCACCTTATCTCACAGAGCAGCTGGTGGATTCAAACCACCACCCATTGGATTGGAAGCACAGCCCCCTATCCACTAGGCCACGCCACCAGAGCTCCTGCAGTCATGCTGTGTAGCCTCTAAAGAGGAAGAACTCCCAGGAAGAACAGTAACCCGATTGGATCTTAATCATCAAGTGCTCAGTGCCTTTTTTTAGAAGTGAATAGATGTGAATTCATAGTCCAGTTTCAGAATTTCAGCATTTCCGGCCACATATGTCAACCGGAAGTATCTTTGAGATATTTTACGTTTCCACATTCTTATGTCTCACGGCACTTACTGTCCTGGCCCCCGCCCACCGCCTGTCTTGCAGCGAGCGGATCAGCATGCGGCAGTCCAAGGTGGACAAGCTGTACGCCGGCCTGAAAGACCTGGCGGAGGAGCGGAGAGGCAAGCTGGACGAGAGGCACCGGCTCTTCCAGCTCAACCGGGAGGTGGACGACCTGGAGCAGTGGATCGCCGAGCGGGAGGTGGTGGCCGGCTCGCACGAGCTGGGCCAGGACTACGAGCACGTCACGGCAAGTGGCCGGCCAGCGCTGGGTGGGGCGGCGGGCACAGCGAGGGCTGGGCGGGTGAGCCCTGGGCAGCTCCACCTGTGAGCACATGGACACCTGGGCATGAGGCGGTGATCATGGGTTTGAATTCAGGTTGTATCACCAGATTACTAGACCTTAGTGGGCTGACCTCTGCTCCATCCACCAGTGGGAAAGGAGACGAGGGCCAGGGCCGCGCCCTGATCTCAGGAGTGAGAGGTTAAACCTCACGGTCAGAGGCCTGAGGGCTGTGATCTCAGGTCCCTGAATTCAAGTCCCGTGTGTTCCTTGTTACCTCTCACTCGGGGCAGCCTCCTTCGGGCAATACGTGGTCAGGAGATGCTGCCCAGTGCAGCCTCACATTCTCTCTGCACCGTGGTCAGGAGACGCTGCCCACCACGGCCTCACGTTCTCTCTGCCCCCGTCCCCGCTGCAGATGCTGCAGGAACGCTTCCGGGAATTTGCTCGTGACACCGGGAACATCGGGCAGGAGCGCGTGGACACGGTCAACCACATGGCCGACGAGCTCATCAACTCCGGCCACTCGGATGCCGCCACCATCGCCGAGTGGAAGGACGGCCTGAACGAAGCCTGGGCCGACCTCCTGGAGCTCATCGACACCAGGACCCAGATTCTTGCCGCCTCCTACGAACTGCACAAGTTTTACCACGATGCCAAGGAGATCTTCGGACGCATCCAGGACAAGCACAAGAAGCTCCCCGAGGAGCTGGGGCGCGACCAGAACACGGTGGAGGCCTTGCAGCGCATGCACACCACCTTCGAGCACGACATCCAGGCCCTGGGCACTCAGGTGGGTGCGAGGCGTCCCCCACGCAGTGTCCAGGCTCCACGCTGAGCACCTCCTCGCTGCCTGTCCCCCTCACGACATGCCTCTAAGAGCTGCCGGAGTAAGACACGCACACACGCACCCAGACACGTGCTCTCAGGGGAACGGGTCAGTCCATACAGCTCTGTGTTTGCCACGTTTCCAAATGCTGCCAGCTGTGTGTGTTTACGATTAGAACATAGACAAGCACGTCTGCAAGTTGCAGGCCTTCAGCAGAAGCTTAGATCCTGCCGGCATATCATGACAGAATCATTTCCAAGATAAGGCCCCAAAGACGGGACACAGTTCTCCTGTTTGGTTCTGGGCCTTCTCCCATCTGCAGTGTAAGATAAGGGCTTAGTGTTAAGGAGTTGCACTGCCACCCTAAAGGCACGCTGTTCAAATCCACCCGGGTAAAGATGTGCAGCCTCCTCCTGCGTGATTAAACCCTCTGCAGACCTGCTGGAGGGTCAGCTGTGAGGCCACTCTGACGCAGCAGTGCGTAACAATAGAGAGATGACACAGATTGTACGTGAAAGTGTAAACCAGCTTTGTTTCTCAGTCTCTGCATTTTTCTAGTCTCTTGATTGGAACCATTTCTTTATTTCATGGTCCAAGGGAAGGCATTGTTACTAAAGATAACAGGCCTGAATGTATCTGAGAAGTCCTTATCGGCTGAGAGCCTGTGTATGATCTTGTTCAGGCTCCCGTTTAGAGCCAGAGAACAAATACTGACTTTTTTTAGATGCATGTCGTCTGTCGCAGTAACTCGGCGCTGCAGTGGAAAGTACACCCTATAGGAATGAGTGGGCATGACTTTGTCCAGTACGTTTTTTTTACGTACAAAATAAGTAGCCCAGGTTCGTCCCTGGACTGAAACAGGCTGGCGCTGGCCGTCAGCTCACCGTTCATGTTTTCGAGTCCCCAGCTAGGTGGTTCTCTGGAGAGACACACAGAATGTAGGAGAGCCCGCCCTGGACCGTGAGGGTCTCCCTAGCTCTGTGAGCAGCTGCCGTGTGAAGCATGGTCAGCTTTGCCTTCAGTGACTCTCGTTCCACACGGGGCCCTGGGTCTCGTGTGGCAGCACAGAGAGTCAGGCTGCAGTCTGGTGTGGGTAAGAACACCGACGCTGGTTGACTCGAGGCCTCTTCCTGTCCCTGTGCAAGTTTCATTTACCTTTAAGCTTCATTTCCCTAAAGCTTTGAGGATTGAGGTTGCTGCTTGCCAAACTCAGGATATAACAAAGTTCTAGACATTTAACAGTATGAGTGTTTTATAACTCTTTTAATTCTTTATATTAAGAGTATAATTCTTTTTATATACTAAAAGCTCAAGGAAACGTGGAATGCCTAGAGATGAAGTTAGAAAACAACTTTTACCCGCAGCAGGTGTTGGCTTTGCATGTGTGTAATTCTGCTGTTCTAAAATTGGAAGAGACTCCGCTGGTGATGATGTTGGTCCCTGACTTTCTTGCTAATTCCATTCCTCTCTGTGAGGCTCAAAGAGGTGAGGGACCCTGATAAGGTCCAGTAACACCCTGGACACGAGTCCCTTCCCTCAAGTCTGACTGACAGTCTCCACCTCTCCTCGCCCACTGGACCAGCCATCACTTCCGTGACGAGGAACTGGAAAAGTATGTGCGATCCTTGTGCAATTGTTGACCTTGGATAAGCTTGTTTTGACAGGATTAGACCAGAAGGAAAGGCCCTAGGCAGAAGCTCCCAGAAAGCTCATGGCCACTCCTTCCTTGCCCATTGCTCTCAGGCCAACTTCACTTGTTTTCATTTCCCTGAGGTGGACAGTGGGGACACACCCAGGGTTAGTCCCTGGGGACCCTCCAAAACAGTGGGTTCCTGTGGGAGTTTTCACTGGTGCTGTCCTCCACCTTGGTTTTGTCACTAGAGCATATGAGAAACAACTAGGATTACAGAAAAAAGGTTATTAGTGTTTACTTACTTACTTGGAAAAAATCTGATTAGTGGTATAGGAAATTAGCTTCTTGGAAATTCCTCAGAAACGTCCTCATTGTAAATTTGGGTTGTAACAGAATTGGGGCATAATTAGAGTGTCTCCCCCAGAGTTTCTGAGGAGCAGAAAATCTCATCTAGGAAGCTTTCCGTTCCGTGAATTCTTTATCGTCTTTGGCACCATCACCCATCACTTGTGGTGATGGTGTTATTATGTGCCATCAAGTCGCTTGCTTCAATTAATTTGACTGTATTAAGGTTGGTAACCCAGTTGAATCAGGCACCCCGAAAATTAAAAGATACCAAATGCATGACACCACAGTTATGTGTGAGCATGGGCTGACCCTATGTACAACAGCCCTAAACCTTGCTCTGTCCTGTGCCAATCGCACTGCCTCTGACACTCCCATCCCAATTACCCCAGTCACTGAAGCAATCCACCTCATAGAGGGTCTTCCTCTCTTGCACCATCCTTCTACCCACCCAAGCATGATGTCCCTCTCCAAGGACTGATCCCTCTTTGCAACATGTCCAAAGTATGTCAGACGAAGCTTCAGAATCCTTGTCTCCAAGGAGCAGCCTGGCATCACCCTCTCCAGGACAACCTGTTCATTTTTTTAGCAGTCCATTGTACATTCAATACTCTTCTCCAGCACCAAAGCTCAAAGGCACTTGGTGATAGAATTTCCAAAACCCACCCGCCGCAGGCCCTGTCTCATATGCTGCTCCCCTGACACACGAGGTCGCTGTGAGAGCATCTGTAGGCACTTCTGTTTTCTTTCATTTTGGGGGGAAGGTCTGGTGGTGTGGGTCGCCAGAGTGTGTGCTGCTAACCCCAAGGGGCCCCCCCCCCCTTTGGAGGTTCAAGCCCATCAGCTGTTTCCAGGGGAAAAAAGATGGTCAACAGTCTCCTCCACTGTGATTTGCAGCCTCAGAAAACCCCCTCGAGGGCCAGCTGTGAGGCAGCGTTTCTTTATTTTTTTCAAATATCTTGTGATTTTGTGAGAGTTAACACAGCAAGTTCTGCTCCCATTGACCAATTTGTCCCCAGATTTTTCTCACTCCCAACTTTGTTTGGGTTTGCTTTCATCTGGCTTCTCTGCCCTCACCCCCTTCTACCCTTCTCACCTTTACAGGAAGCATGCTGACCCTTTGAGCTCAAACGTGTTTCCCCCTTTTATTCAGTAACGCAGTTCTTGCAGGAGTATTCCTTTTTAGTCTGTTATTTGATTGGAAGGTGGGAGGTAGGAGCAGTTTCAGCCCAGTGTTTAGAGGGCGGTGGGCTCAGGGGACCCCGGTCTCTGCCCGTCGTGCACATGTCCTGGGAACACTGACTGACATATCTGGGCAGGATAGGGCAGAAGCAGTGGGGACCAGGCGTGGAGTTCTCACCTGGCGTCTCCCTCCTGGCCCCACAGGTAAGGCAGCTGCAGGAGGACGCTGCCCGGCTGCAGGCCGCCTACGCCGGCGACAAGGCCGACGACATCCAGAAACGGGAGAACGAGGTCCTGGAGGCCTGGAAGGCGCTGCTGGATGCTTGTGAGGGCCGCAGGGTGCGGCTGGTGGACACGGGGGACAAGTTCCGCTTCTTCAGCATGGTGCGTGACCTCATGTTGTGGATGGAGGACGTCATCCGGCAGATCGAGGCTCAGGAGAAGCCACGGTAATGCTCCGGGTCTGCAGGAGGGTGGCCTGCTGTCCCAGGTCAGCTCATACACGGAATCTTCCAGAGAGAACCATGCTCTTGTTGGGGGGCGGGGGTTAGAGACATTCTGGGAAGAACTGCCTCTGCCATGACGGGGGACCTGGTGTCATCAAGTCTGTCAAGGCCTTCCTCGTCCTTCCCATCCCTGTCCCTGTGCCCACCTGGGCCATGTACCCACCTGTGAGCCTCCTGCACCCATGACAGACCCCACCTCGTGGGCATAGGTGCTGCTTTTTCTTGTTTGTTCCATCCCTCACACATGTTACAATAAGCCGCCACTTACCACACCCTGTTACTCTGTGTCACTTGGGCATAAAGCCGCCACTATTTACTCATTCCTGAGGCTGTCGGTGTGTGCCTTCGTGGGGCCTTCTGTGCAGTGTTTGTAATTACAGGTTTATGATGTAATAACTGTCCCCTTTCGCCTTGTTTTGTGCAAAAGAGAAGTGAGTAATAGAGGAATAAGCAGACAGACATGTCCTGTAATTGCAGTGACCTCCATGAGGAGGGATTTTTTTTGGTAGTGTTTTCTTTTTTCCACATGATCGTGTTTTCCTGGATGTGTGCGCTCGGGGAAGTAGGTTTGCTCACGAGGCTTTCTGACCACTAACCCCCGAGTTGGCGTGTCAGCAGATTCCCGCTCCGTCTGTTGATGCCCGGACGGGGAAGCTGCTCTTCAAGAGAACACACGTGTCCTCAGCTCTGGTGGGCACACCTGCTCTTAACCCTGTGCCTCCGGCAGCCCGTGGTTCTTATGACCCCAACCCAGCACCGATTTTGAGCCGTTCAGGCATCCCTCAAAGTGAATGCAGTGCCACGTTCTCAGTGTGTCCTCGGCTCCGCCGTCGCTGAGCCCTGGCCCGCGACGGACCAGAGGAACACTTGCCCCCATGCAGATTATGTGTTCTAAGCCCCATGCGTTTAGCGGAATAGCTTGCTCTGCTGACAGAGGTGTGACTTGTCGACTTTTCAGGGACGTGTCGTCTGTTGAACTATTAATGAATAACCATCAAGGTATCAAAGCTGAGATCGATGCTCGGAATGACAGTTTCACGACCTGCATTGAGCTTGGGAAATCCCTGTTGGCGAGGAAACACTACGCATCAGAGGAGGTAGGCCGCGTGGCTGAGAGTGAGATGACCTGGGAGGGGGGGGCGCTGACCACCACGCACGGGGACACGGGTCCAAGTACCCCGTGCACACACACTAACACTGCTGCACAACTCCGTGACTCCTTTTTCTTTGCTCTGTGTCTCTATCAGAATACTTTTTCAGACCCAGAGGCAGTGATTGGTGGCTCAGGGGACAGTGTCGAGGGCCCCTATCTCTCTCTTGTTCTTGACTATCAGCCTTTAGCTCACGTGGGATTGGTGTCCTCTCATGTCTGGGTGGGGATTCCTGTCAGATGGTGATGGTGACCAGGGCGATGTGTGTGCTTCCCCCCAAGCAGAATGAATGTCCTTTCAGAGGGTTTGGGCTCTGCCCCTGACTGTCTCCCTTTTCCCAAATTTCTGACTGCAGGGCACTCCAGAGTCTGGTGGAGGGTAGAGTACATCACGGGCCTCTTTGAGAGGCATCCCCTGGTGGAAGGCCCAGCGCCTGTCCTCCGCTCTCTCTCCCCTCATCAGACAGCTCTGGGGTGATCCCTGACTTACTGTTCGGTTTGACAGAAAAGTGTCTTTGCCTTGTGTATGAGGGGAGACCAGGGAAGGGGGTGACACAAGGAAGACGAGGTCCAGCGTATTAACGTGTCCCACCTTCTTCTTTCTTCACAGATCAAGGAAAGGTTACTGCAGTTGACGGAAAAGAGAAAAGAAATGATTGACAAGTGGGAAGACCGATGGGAGTGGTTGAGACTGAGTAAGGAGTTATGCGTGGTTTGCTTGGTCCTCTCTGGGTGTCCCGCAAAAGCACCTTATTTCCCAGCTTTTCATTAGCATAACGTTACGATGAATGAGCTCTGAAGTTGCGAGCGCTTCAGATGCTAAAGCCCCGGGTTCATGCCGAGTACTGTTTTCAAGAAGTGCTCTGTGGTATGGCCATAGATTCTCATCAGTGACCCCGTATTGTGGGTGGTCTAGTGTGATGTCTTGGGATGAGGTGACTCAGTTTCCCTCCAGGACAGCACAGGTGAGAGCTCCCATCCCTGTTATCTCTAAGAGGACCTGAGTAGAAGGTCGAAGGTTGGCCTGACTATAGTTACTAAAAGAACATGTTTTTAGAGTTGGGTTTTTGAAGAACGATGAAGAATATTAAAATAGAAGCTGGTGTTGGTTAAGAATTTGCACTTAAGAATAATAAGCCCTAAAAACCGAATTTGGCACCATTCTAAATATTTTTTAAAATATTTTTTAAAAAGTATTTATTCTCTACCACGGCCCTGTGAGACAGGCTCTATTCTTAATCCTTATTTTAGGAAGAAACCCATGAGTCCCCAGAGAGTCTATAAAATTGGGAAGAGCATTTCGTGATTGGCATCAATTACACACTTTGCCAACCTGGGCTCAGGGCTCAAGGCTCGGTTCTTGTGTTATCCACTACCTAGAAGCAGCATCCAGAGGTGTGTAAAAGACTAGTGAAGGTGCCCTCTCCCCCTGCTGGACCCCAAGGGGTCTCAGGAATGTCTCTGACAAGGTTTCTGAGGAGAATTTCGTCTTAAACTGAAAATCCTCAGCCCTCCTTCAGTTCTGTTCACCATTGCGCACTTGCTTTGAGCCAGGCACCGGGCTGTGTCCTTTCCCGGTCCCTGGTGTTGAGCTGTTGAATGCGATGTGTCTTCCCTGCGAGGTAATAGTAGCACCTTCCCCCCGTGGCCCCTGGAGGGCGATGAAAGATGACAGCCAGCCAGCTTCAGGCCCTGCTTCCTTTGGAGATACTGATGCTGTCTGTAGGCGTCATAGCCATTTCTTCATGAGATGCAGTCAAATGAGCGTTAACAGCAGCACGGCCCTGGCTCCTCACCTGCCCCCCACCTGCACGGGGAGTCGTGCTTTCTCTTGTTTGTGAGCAGAGAAACTGGAGGGAGTTCAAGCTAGCGCCGTAGCCTGTATTGTCCCACGTCCTCCAGGGCGTCCCCGACCTTCCCTCCCTCACTAGACGGATTGACCCAGTGGCAGCACAGTGGCTCCGGCGTGTCAGAGACGATGAGGATGGTGCCAGATGGAGCAAGGGTCACCATGAGCCCTGGTCAGCTCGATGGCGCTGGACAAGAAAAAGAGTGACATATGTCAGCAGCAATTCTTTCATGATTGCTGTCTGAGACTGCTCAAATAGGGTTTCCTGGGCTGTGTCACACAGTCTTACGGGAGCAGGTCGTAATTCCTGTCTCCTGCTATGAGCCGCTGGTATATTGAAAATGCTGGTCCTTTAAAAAAAAATCCTGGTCTTTCAGTTAGCAGCCAAGTGTAGAATCATTGATCATTGTGCCACCAGCTCTCTCATACCAGTTATGTGCTGAAATAGTATTAAGAGACGCTTCACCTGCTCCTTTTTAATGCGTGTGGCTAACAGGAATGTTAGGAGCTGCCTGCGGGCCCTGCCCACTGTAGACGATGCCCATCTGGGTGCAGTGTCCCCGCGCCTGCCACCAGGTGGAGTCAGGCCACGGTGGCTCAGTCCTCCTCCTGTCCCCTCCCGTCCCCGTGCAGTTTTGGAGGTCCATCAGTTCTCCAGGGACGCCAGCGTCGCCGAGGCCTGGCTGCTGGGGCAGGAGCCCTACCTGTCAAGCCGAGAGATCGGCCAGAGCGTGGACGAGGTGGAGAAGCTCATCAAGCGTCACGAGGCCTTTGAAAAGTCAGCAGCCACCTGGGACGAGAGGTTCTCCGCCTTGGAAAGGTTGACGACAGTAAGTGGCCAGCTTCTGGTCAGGGGCCTCGGCTTCCTGGTGGCCTCCTGGACAGGGGGGTCCGCATCATTGCCCAGTGAAAGCAGTGTGGCCGACGGAAGTTAGTGGCTTTCCTGGTACAGGGCCTGGTACATGGCCTCATTCACCTCCAGGGCACCTCTGTCCAGTCACCTAGGACCATGTGAGGGGTGTGATTTGCTCTTTCAATCTGCTTTTTCTCTCCCACATCTCTTTCCTAGAAGCTTTGATTTCTAGGGGGAAGACTCTGAGGTTTTGGGGATTTTCCCCCCCCAGAATTTTTTAAATAGAATTTCCATCCAGCACTGGCTAGAGTCCAGGCCATTGAAAGATTGTCTCCCCTTCCCTCTGCACTGGAGTGAATGCAGAGGCCTCCCTTGGCCTGGCTCCACGGGGCTTCTTCTCTCCCAGGACTTCGCTCTCCTAGTTGCAAACTGGTCATCAACCATTTTCCAAATCGCTCTCTCTTTCAAATGTGTGTAATTCTGGGGATTTTAAACATCCTGTGAACTTACGGGGACTTTCTGTGGTCTGTGCATACTGGCTTCATTTCAGTCACACCCCTCTCGGGCAGTTGATGTGGTGCCTCTTTTAACCACACGTAAGCCCCCGTCACTGTCTCAGCGGGGTCCCTGAGCTCTGGTGGGGAATCGGTGTAAGGAAGTGGAGAGCCGAGTGGCCGATTGTGAAATTAAATACGAGGTCACAGGAGCCACCCTGGCAGCTGATGGGCGAGATCCGAAGGCTGTTTTCCTCGGGGTGCTGGGGCTTGTGTGTGGACAGCACAGGCGGACGGGCACCCTGGGGGTCTCGTGGGGCCCGGGCTCTACTGAGTGTCCCTGTATCCCCACAGTTGGAGCTACTGGAAGTGCGCAGACAGCAGGAGGAAGAGGAAAGGAAGAGGCGGCCGCCTTCCCCGGAGCCGAGCACGAAGGTGTCAGAGGAGGCCGAGTCCCAGCAGTGGTGAGTCCACACCTGCGGGCGAGCAGTGAGGGGTCAGCCCTGGGGGCCCCTCATCTGACGCTGGCCATGCAGGCTCGCCTCATGCCCTTCCAAGACGTTATTTCTGTGCACAGTTAGGATCAGCATAGTCACCCCGAATAACTTTGGGGGACACTGGGGTGCTTGCACTACCCAAGTCACAGATCTGAAACATAGACCTCCCTCTTAAGTGCGCACACACATAGACCTCCTTCAGATTATAAATGGACCAGCTGAACCTCACCCGTTTGGGTTTAGAGGGTCAGTGGACACGCCTTTCTTCCTAAGCGTTGCTGACTTGACCCTTAGAGGCAGGGATCGCGTCCCGTTCTGCAGAGCGCACAGCGTCGCTGTGTAAGGGCTCCACCAGTCCCGTTACGCACCTGGGGTGGGGGACACCCCCCCTGTGAGGCCAGCCAGAGCCCCTGTGTCAGCCAGTCAATTCCAGCCCATGGCCGCCCCTCCTGGGGCCTCTGAGGCTACAAACCTTCACAGGAGGAGAGAGCCTGCCGCCTCCCTCCCTCGGATTGCACACCTGGTGCATTCGAACTTCTGACCTTGGGGTTAGCAGCCCGGAACATAACACACCATGCCCCCAGAGCTCCTTCCTTCCTTCCTTCCCCAGCGGCTGCTGGGCATGCGTGGAGATATCCAGCCTAAATAACCGACTAGATTATGTAAACGGGGGTTAAGTGGGTTTTCAAGGGAGGATGTTTGTTGTGAAACTGATGCCCCCCCTTCTTGTTTTCTTTCCCCTTCTCGTTCTCCCTCCTCCCACCCCCTCCTCCTTTGTCCCCTCGCCCAACAGGGACACCTCCAAAGGAGAGCAAGTTTCCCAGAACGGTTTGCCGGCCGAGCAAGGATCTCCACGGGTTAGTTACCGCTCTCAAACCTACCAAAACTACAAAAACTTTAATAGCAGACGGCCAGCCAGCGACCAGCCCAGGTCGGGACTCTGAGGCCCGCTCCCGTCTGTCAAGATTCACACCCTTCCAGATCCTGTTGGTCTGACCTTCTGACTCCCACCTCACCCACCGTGTTACCTTTTTTTTTTTTACTTACTCCATCACCCTCCTTGGTTCCATGTCTGTTTGCGTTTAATCCATGTTGATTTTTAGTCTTTTTTTTTTTTAACTGACACGTGCTCAGTTTGCCTTAAGGCGACACACTTATATATTTTTTTTGTTAATTTATTGTGAGCTTTTTACTTTATCAAGATTTTACAGCGAAAACCTTACATGAGTAATTGAAATTAAATGAGATTACTGCAGTAATGAAGATGAAAACTAGAGCCCGACAGGTATGACCCATCCAGTTATACTAACAGGGTGCAGTCCCGTGCTGTACGTGGCCCACTGTGCAGTTGCTATTAACCTGGTGGAAGGTAACGGGTGAACCACAGCCGTTTAGTCGTGGCTCGGAAGGCTGGTGGACGAGGAGCGAGAGGTTTTGTGCTGAAATTCTGCTGTGCGACATTCCATGAAGGACACATTCATGTACATAACAAAAAAAAGAGGGAAGTTGCATCTGATTGGGAAGCTCAGGATTCTAAACATTTTGAGACCCTCAAGTCATTTTGTCCCTTTTTTACAAACGAGTTCTTCTTTCCCTACAAGTCCTGCGTTGAGAGCCCTGGGCCTTCATTGGCAGCAGATGGTACCACCAGGGTCCACGGGCATAAGATGCTGCTGATGGCTTGTCCTACCAGCTCCTGGGTCCCTGTGGGCACCATCCGTGGGCACTGTGGCAGGTGACGGCCGTTCACAGCATCTGTTCCAAACCGCTGCCTGGCAGCCCCCCCTGGCCTGGCCTGTCCATTCAGTCAGTGGCTTCAGGGTGTCAGATGGTTTCAGTTTTCCCAACCCGTGGAGCAAAAGCTATTCCTGCTTACTTGAACAGTGCCCCTATGGCCTGTCCCTGGGTGCACGTGTGGCCCCCTCGCTTCAGCAGGGACCTCTGATGGACCTCCTGATGCATGTTTTCCACCCCACACTCCCCCATTTTCTTGGGAGGGCATTCACCACCACACTAGCAGGACTTGAAAAGGTTTAACAGAAAAATCCTGTTCCCTAGGAATAAACGCCGACGCGAGAGGCAGTCTCGTGGTACTGACACAATCCAAATCCATGTGGCATCCACACCCCGTGCGACATTCATTCCCTTGCTCATTTGCCATATTTAGATGTGTTAGTGGAATCAGAAACCTGTTTTGATACGTGCTCTCCATGAGTTAAGTCTGATTTGTCTTTTCATTTCGTGATGCATGTCTTCTTTTTTCTTTTCTTTTGTCAGGATAACATCATATAGCATCTTGTTTGTTTTTCCATATCTCTATGTACATACCTATCTACCTGAAGCTGTAGATGGGTATATAGATAGATGCCAAGAAGCTCATGTTCTGGGGTTAGTGTGCACCATTATTGGGTCTCTGCCCTAAAAAGACACCAGAATCTCTGAGGAAGTTGCTGCCTGTCTTTGGTCAGTAAAGGAGCCCTGGTGTGTGTTTCTGGTTCCAAATCCTGATTGTGTGTGTTTGTCATTATCTATATGTATATATGTGATATTTCCATATATATATATTTAAATTTTGTATTACCAGGGCTGATACCCAGTTTTATGGACTTTTTTTTACATATCCAGAAGACCAAACACAAAACCAAAAAAGCAACCGACAATGTACTCATGCTTGATGCTTTGGGCATTTGCTATTTGTCATGCCCAGTGTTATCTAAATTTTAAAACTCACATAATTTACCAGAACAAATTTGTCTAATTGTACTAGAAACAAATTAAAAAATATTCTCGTTTTTAAATTTAAAAAAAAAAAATTTTTAAAAAAATGGAACAACTATGGTGCAGAGGCTCAAGTTAATGAACTTGGAAATAGTGTTGCTGCACACACCTGGGAAGCCAGTGGAGTGTTTCTAGTGCGACTAGCTGTCCTGTTGCCTCACATCCTAACTGGACTCCCCTCGGTGTGCCCAGCCGTTAACTGGACTAATTGCTGGAGAGAAGCAGCGTGGGGTAGGCAGGCCGGCGGGCGGGCAGGGCGCTGTGTCCCAGGTGTTCACTGTTTGAGCATCGCACTGTGATTTGCTTTTGATGTCTGTCTTTAATGGTGTGTTGTCCATTAGCATGCTTAAAGCACATATGTCCATTAAAATTCAATTTGTTCCTTTTATTTCCCCTTTGTTTTCTTAGTTAGCAGTTCATTTGCCTCACCATTAATCCTCTCTGCATCCTGGTTTGGGGTGTTTGTTTGTTTTGGGTTTTTTTTTTTTTTTCTCTTTCCCCCTCCCCC